TGTGCAGGAAGTGCACGAAACGGTTGACGCCTTTTTGACAGATCTCTACAAGCTGGCAGAGGTATGTGCATACGGCGACTTAAAAGAAGAGCTAATTAGAGACCGACTCGTCGTGGGACTCGTCGACGTCAAGCTGATTGAGCAGCTTCAGCTCAACCCTGAACTAACGTTGGAGACGGCGATCTCCAAGGCTCGAAATTCGGAAACTGTGAAACAGCAACTCAAGGAACTGCGACCACAAGCACAGCCGAACGCGATCGTAGACGAGCTTCACTTTTCCGCGCAGCGGGCCAAAAACAAGAAGCAGCTACCAGTCCGCAACAAAGAACAGAACCAAGCTTGCAGATGGTGTGGTTCCACGCGCCCACACTTGCGTGCCAACTGTCCTGCTGCCGACAAGACATGCAATGGGTGTGGAAAAAAAGGACACTTCGTGTCAGTGTGCCTGTCCACAAAGAAGAATACTCAAGACAGCCAGAGTCAGCGCCACGCCGCACTCGAAGAGGTTTACCTGGGTAAAGTAACAAGTCAACTCGGATCAGAACCATGGAGGATCACAGCTTGCGTCAACGGCTCGCCCATAGAGTTCAAGGTGGACACGGGAGCTGACGTCACGGCCATCCCGTCCAGGGCCTACAACAAGTCACTCATGGGACCACTCAGCAGACCTACGAAGGCACTCCTGGGGCCCGGCCGAGCCAAGATTCCCACCGTGGGACAGTTCAAGGCGACCCTGAGGTGGAATGGACGATCGTGCCAGGAGCAGGTGTTCGTGGTGGACAACCTTCACGACATGCTTCTTGGCCGTCCAGCAATCAAGTCTCTGCAAGTCCCGTGCAGCCTGTCTGTCGTCGAGGGATCCAAGGTAGACGAAGACGACACAGCAGACATCTTCAGTGACTACCCCAAGCTGACTGCGGGTCTCGGACTACTAAACACCGAGTACAAGGTAGCTCTGCTCCCCAACGCCAAACCGTATGCGGTAATGTACCCGAGGCGCGTCCCTCTTCCAATGCTTCCAAGTGTCAAGCAGGAGCTGGAGCGGATGGCAAGCCTCGGAGTCATCGCAAAGATAGACCACGCAACTGAGTGGTGTGCACCGATGGTTGTGGCCAGAAAGAAAAACGGAGAACTACGCATCTGTGTCGATTACAGTGACCTGAACAGCTGCATCCTGAGGGAATGAGTCTTAATGCCAACTGTCGATGAATGCCTTGGAAAACTGGCTGGAGCAACCTGGTTCAGCGAACTCGACGCCAGAGCGGGCTACTGGCAAGCCCCACTGGCAGCAGAATCACGGGAGTATACTACCCTCTTGACGCCATGTGGTAGATTTCAGTTCCTCCGACTACCATTCGGTATCTCCACTGCACCTGAGTTCTTCCAGCGTGAGATGCTAAGAGTACTCAAAGGTCTCGAAGGTCAAGCTTGCCTTCAAGACGACATCATCGTGTTTGGAGGAACGAGAGAAGAACGTGACTCACACTTGCATCAGGTACTCAAGCGCCTGCAAAATGCGGGCATAACTCTCAACAAGGACAAATGTGTTCTTCGCAAACAGTCTGTAGAATTCCTCAGACATGTCGTCTCGGGCAACGGGGTCAGTGCGGATCCAGTAAAGATCAAGGCTCTCGCTTAACTGACACCGCCAGGAGATGTATCGGAGGTCAGGTCGTTCCTGGGTATGGCAAACCACCTGGCTAAATTTCTCCCTGGACTCTCTCAACTCACGAAACCGCTTCGCGATTTGCTTCACCATGACGCTGATTGGTGCTGGGGAGAGCCTCAACAAAAAAGTTTCGACTCCGTCAAAGAAGCACTGACGACCACACCGGTACACTACGATCCTCGAAGTCATCTCACAGTCTCAGCGGATGCATCCTCGTACGGCCTTGGGGCTGTCCTCCTTCAGGAGATGTCCGGAAAACGACTCCCTGTTGCCTACGCATCACAGTCACTCACAGAAACTGAACAACGCTACGCCCAGATAGAAAAGGAGACGCTGGGAATCGCATGGGCATGCGAGCATTTCCGCCAGTACTTGCTCGGTCTGCAATTCCACATAGAGACCGACCATAAGCCGCTCGTGCCTCTGTTGTCATCAAAGCGCATAGACGAGCTGAGTCCACGATTGCAGCGTCTGCGAATGAGACTGCTGGAATTTGACTACACAATCTCCCACATTCCCGGAAAGGAGATCCATACAGCTGACGTACTCTCACGGAATCCGCAAGCAACAACGGACAGCAGCAGTCCAAGAAGTCTCGAAGTAGCTTTGACAGAATACGAGCTACTCAGCGTAGAACTCCTACCGGCCTCCACCAACATGCTGGAGAGGATCAAAGAAGAACAAAACGAGATCCAACTATCGTGACTGTTGGGAACTATTGTTCAACGACGTGGTCCAAGGGCGTGTCACTGCCACTAGCAGTACAGAAATATGCCAATGTGTCCCAAGAGCTCACGGTAGTTGAAGAACTTCTCCTCAAGGGAAGTCGCATCGTCACCCCGCCAAGCATGCAGGACGAGGTGCTGGAAAGCCTGCACACGGGTCATCAGGGCGTAGGTCGTTGCAGAGCTCGGGCCAGTCAATCAGTTTGGTGGCCTGGCATCAGCAGGAGTGTTGAAGACTATGTTTCAAGATGTCCAGTGTGTCAGACACACCGAAAGCCTGGCGCAGAGCCCCTGCTACGCACTCCACTCCCGAATCACCCATGGGAAGTTGTAGGCGCGGACCTCTTTTACGAAAATGGCGAGAACTACCTTGTAGTGGTAGATCATTTCTCGAGGTTCTTTGAACTTGAGAAATTAAGAAAGACAACAACCCAAGACATCACACGGAAACTGAGCGAGATGTTTGCCCATTTTGGAGCACCCGCCATCATTCGGTCAGACAATGGGCCCCAATTCGCTTCTGCCGAATTCGAAAGGTTTGCGAAGGAGTGGGGATCACGCCATGTAACAAGTAGCCCATATTATCCTCAGAGCAATGGGGCGGTGGAAAGGACCATACAGACGGCGAAGCAGCTGCTTAAGAAGTCGCCGAACATCCACAAGGCGCTGCTTGCTCATCGGGATACCCCTGCAACTGAAGGATACTCCCCTGCGGAACTCATGATGGGAAGAAAGATACGGACAAATGTTCCAGCTGTGTCCAAAGCGTTCCAGCCTCGGTGGAACAGCGAGCCCTTTCGGAAAAAGGATCGTGCATACAAAGCCAAGCTGAGTGCACATTACGATGCCCGTCATAGGGTCAAAGAACGAGACCATATACCTCTACATACAGCTGTGCGAATTCTGTCAGGAGCAGCCACAAGTGGGACAGTGCTGCAATCAACGCAGTCTCCTAGGTCATATGCGGTGAACTCAGCCAATGGCATCACTCGTTGCATGAGCAGACATCTGCAACCTTGGCAGCCTGGAATAACCGTCACAAGAGGTGGACGAAAATCAAGACCTCCAAGCCGCCTCAACCTGTAGGTGCTGGGAGTCTTCAAAGAAAGGGGAATGTCGTGAGAGCCACAGCACGAAGAGGGTGCCACAAGCCAGACGACAAAGAAGCCAGCGAGAGGGCTGAGTGCGAGAGTCTGGGTCGGAGAACGCCAACACGACGGACGCACGGAGGAGGCTTGACGTGCGGGCTCACTGCTCATGTAACCATGTAACGTATCGTTAACTCGAATTAAACGCTTTGTTTATGCCAACCTCGTCCCGACAGGAATCTGCCATGTCTTGATGAATACGCAATAAAAGAAAACCAGGTCTCGAAGCTAGCGCTCATATTTTATTGAAATCAACAGCCCCTAATGTGCTGGCAAACAGGTATACAAGGTTAGTTGGAACAGGCTATCAAACATATTTACATGTCTTTCAACTGTTTATACAACAAAAAATCGCACATGCCTGCTCAAAGCCAAGGTGTCCAAGTCTAGGGAACTTCCAACTCTGGCCATCAGTAACCTATTCCAACAAAGCACACATCTCCAGATAATTTCAGGCTTACATATAATCAACAATCACGTGTTAATGAGAAATATATTTGCAACAATGAGAGACCTGTAATAGTGAGCAAAATTTCGGAGAGGATAAAGCTGTTTGAGGTATGCCACGCGAGTCGGCTACTTCTACCAAGCACACAGATGCAAAGCGGTGAAGCTTTATGTGTGCGCAGAGCAGTGGTAGGAAGCTTGATGTGGCCAGACTGTCCGTTTATATTTAATTAGTTTGTTTTTCGCCTCAGATATTTATTTTTCTTTAATGCAAGGGTCGGCCTACATTCAGAAATTATGTATGTTCTAGTAAATATGATTGCTAAAATCGGGAAAGTGCCACAAACAATAGGTCTAACGTGGTTGGACAGCAGTGATGAAGTTATAATGTAAGCAGCCAATTGATTGCCTCATAACATGATTAAAGAAAGATAAAGACATCATACCGGATGGGCCTGGTGCGAAGTTGTGAAAAACTCGAAGCACGGTAGTCGTAGATTAATGTTTAGAGAGTGGTCGGACTGGCTTTGCTGTGGTGACACTGGTCTACATCATAGAGGAACAATTTAGTGATTGCACAATGACTACTAACACAGGGTCTTTCAAGGAATGCTGAACCAAAATTCGGATTTCACAAAATAAGGCCGCAGAAGTGTTCACAGGACGCTACGAACGCCAAAACATCACTCATACAGCAATATCTCGAACCGATGGCCGTGTTTTTGGACAAAAAGGGCAGGACTGAGCAAAGAATGCGACGTAGCCATTCTCTGGGAACGGTTGAGAACAAGAGAAAACGGACGTCCTTCTCTGCTCCTAGGTTCGGTTTACCTCCTCGAGGGGGCAAAGGGGGCAAAGGGGAGGGGGAATGAGAATCTGAACATGACAGGCCTTGCCTGCCTTCGTCGTTCAATCGCTCCCTTCTTTCCTAAAGATACGGCCATCCGTTCGAAATATTGCGGTACGAGTGATGTTATGGGGGTTTGTAATGTCCCGCCTATTACACCTGGCTTGTTTTACGAGATCCAAAATCTTGTTTCGCATCCATTTAACATGCATCATTCAGCGTGCATGCTAAATAAGTCGTGCAAGTGATTTGTTTTTTCGCAAAATTTTTCATTGCCTTAAAGTATTTACACAGGGAAGTTTACATGTTTTGACTGTGACACTACTCATCCCTAGTCAGTGGCTCCCGGAAATTGCTTAAGAAACAACAAACTTGAAAGACCTGGTTAGCAATGCCGATCATTGTGATGGGGAACGGACGATCCAAAATGTGAAACTGTTTTACCCTCCCAATCACACGCTCAACAATTACTCTGGCACTAGCCACCCGGCGGGAGTGCGCAACGTCCTCCTCTGGCATTTGCGGCTCTTGCGGCTTTCTGAAAGCAGGGATGTGCACCTGAACCCCTGCTGGTATGTTATTAAGCTTGAAACCCTTATCCACCATAATGGCGTCACCTGACTCCAATAGCCCTAACAACCCACTCTCCTCTACAATCGGCCTGTCTGAAACTGACCCTCCCCACAACTTGGAAACATATGAAACGTAGCCATCAGCGGTACAGCCAATGACCGCCTTATAAGTATTAAAATGCTTATAAGGTGAAAAAGTATGCCTCTGGGCAGCCAGGGAAGAGGGCTTCTGGATGCGCACCTCCGTTCCGTCGAGAACTATTCTTGTGTTTAAGAAGTAGCGAAAGGCATGAGGCAGATACATCTGAATTTCGTGCAGAGATGGAAGCCGTGTCAGTGTACTCAACTCTCGCTGCAGGAAGTTTATCCAGGTTGTAAGCAGCCTGCTCACCGTTGCTTCATGTACTCCAAAATTGCGGGCCATTTCCCTGCCAGCCATTCCCGTTCTCAGCCTAGTAAGTACCATGAAGAATTCCTCAATGAGCTCCAACTCCCGGGGGCGGCCTTTCATCCCGTTACTCTTTCGACCGCTGGACCAGTATTGCATCTGGGATGCCCGAGGTGCAAAAAAATCGTATACTGCTTCAAATACAGCAAACTCGGGCAGCCCAGTGTAATAAATGCACTGCTTGGGGTCATGTCTGATGAAGTCAACCGATAGCCGCCGTGTCTCGTGGTGCTGTAGCTCCACTTGGAGGCGCATGTTGTCAGCTTCCAAACTCAAGATCCGCTGCTGCATCTGTGCAATCTTGAGTCTGCACCCGTCGTGCGTCCCAGACATCACGGACTGACCAAGATTGTCCTCGTGCTCGATCTCTGTAAAATAGAAGTATACATAAATGACTTCATAATTATACAGTTTTTGTCTCTATTTCTTACGCTGAATAATTATATATGTGCTATTCCTGCAGATTTCTGAAATAAGCCCCTTGCACTCAAGCACAGAGGGATTTTGGCTCCAATTACTGGCCATTTTCTGCTTGCCAGCAATATTATATTATACCCATCCAAATGTCGGAACGATAAATGCATGTAGATAAATAAAATAGTGAAGTAGTAGAGTAAATAAAACTTGCGCACCATTTTGCTCAGCTTTACTCTAACTGCTTATGATGAAAGTTCTGAAAAGGTTGTCTACCTTGCGTAACAGCCCATTTGTATGCTGTTTAGACACCATAAAGCAGGTTCCTTCGTTCAAAACTACAAACCATGCAGGTATGTATATTAGCAGTTATGCTGAATGATTTAGCGACATGAACTGTGACAGCTGCCTGCTGCACAAGTAACAGCAAGCATGAGCACCTTCGATGGTTTGCTGGACACATGGAGTGCTTGTCTGGGCTCCATGCCCATTGTCCAGGAGGGGCGGACAATGTTCCGGGATGCTGGTCTCTCCTGTAAGGGGACCAACGACCAGGGATGCTCTTGCTTGTGCCACAAGTGGGATTGCTGCTCTGGAAGGCCCAGCTGCTGCTGCTGTCGAAGGCCCGGCTGTAGCTGTGGAAGGTCGAGCCGCAGCTACGCAAGGTCTGGTTGCAGCCGCGGAAGGTCCGGCAACAGCCGCAGAAGGTCTAGCTGCAGCTGCGGAAGGTCTGGCTGCAGCCGCAGAAGGTCTGACTGCAGCTGCAGACGGTCTAGCTGCAGCTGCGGAAGGTCTGGCTGCAGACGTGGAATGTATGGCTGCAGACGTGGAATGTATGGCTGCAGGCGCTGAATGTCTGGCTGCAGACGCGGAATGTCTGGCTGCAGCTACGGAAGGTTTGGCTGCAGCCGCAGAAGGTCTGGCTGCAGCTGCGGAAGGTCTGGCTGCAGCCGCAGAAGGTCTGGCTGCAGCTGGAGAAGAACCGGCTGCTGGCTGAGGTGCCCCATGTTGAGTGCTTCCAGGAACTGGAGCGGTTATTTGGGCCACAATCCTTTTTTTGACAGCAGCTGCAGGGTCACAATCACAACACACAATATTGGTGCTGCATAACCAATGCATACTATTATTGAAACCTGCAAAATGTAAATCTCGGGGTTGTAGATGCCAAACAAACGTAGGGCATCTGGCACGTCTCAGCGGTGGACGAGAATAATTTCCACTACTTGGAAATCTTATGACGTGCACTAAAAATCTCCACCTAGCTATGACCATTTATAAATCTGACGACTCTACACAGTGTCATGATTTTTCCTCTCTAATCATAACGCTTAGACATCATGCAATGAAAAGAGGGAAGGCAGTGGCAAACTGGTCTGCATGAGCTACTTCTGTAGTGCAGTGAAAAAAATGCATAGGAAACAAGAAACCTGGGGAAGCACCAGCAGGCTCAGATACACACGCATCAACTGTATTACGCTCGAAACTTGACGGTGATCTGACATGGTCGTCGCGCAGCGTGGTGATAAGCTGAGCTCACAATGTATGCACTGCCGCCGGCGCGGACGCTGGCAGCTACCAACGCCGTCCCCATCAATAGCGGATGTTACGAAACCAGTACCCGTAGCCCAATCAACAAGTCAAATCGTGCGAGCATGCTGAAGAGGCAGCACGAGATTACTAAACACGACGTAGTACGTACCCCCTGTTGACAAACAATGTTTCCACCGTTCGTAGCGGCCGAGGACCGACGGCCGGTTCTTCACGTAAGTGAATACAGTCGGCACGTAGTCAGGGTGGCTGTTGTCCAGTGATGGTTCCCCTGTTTGATAAAGTGGCCGTGTTACAGTTCCGGTGCTTCTCGAAAGTACGATGAAAGTGACTTGCCTGTTACGAAGTGATCCTCGCATATTCGCGACTCCTTACTTGGCTCCCAAGCCTTGTTTGGGTCTGACGGGAGCACTCGCTTCACTGCTCGGATCCAGGCCGCTCTTCGATGAGGGAACAGTTTCTTCGAAGGGAATCGAAAATAGCTTTTCTTGTCTCCTGGCCGGTGCCAACTCCGGCAGCCAAAGGCCACGCAGCTCGTCGGCATCCCGCGGAACGCGACAGCGAAATCGTAGCATAGTCGCGTAGTCTTGCTATGGTCTCACGCTTCGCTAGCTTGTCGTCTCTCCCAACATACCCTCGAACCCGGGCGACCGGCGCGCAGAGATACCACGCATGCGCACTCCGTATTTTCGCAAAACGTGGATTATTGAGGCACCCTAGCAGTGACCGATAGCTTGCACCGCCTTGTGGCATTGGCGGCAGGCTTCCCCGCGCTTTTCAAGTTTTATTGCAAATATAATTAACTCTTGTTTAAAATAGACATTGCATGAACATTAACTAAAAAACGATAGACAAAGTCTTTTTTTTTTCTTAATCAAAACAATGCAATTTTTACACTAGTAAAATTAGATAATTTAGTACAACAATTACAGAACATTAACCTAAAACTTTTATTATAAATCCCAATGTTTAGGAATCAGCTCGATTTCTCGCTCACGGTAGACTTTTCAGTTTAGATCAGGTCCGCTTGTATACCATCCCAGTTTGTTAGGGTGGTGGGTTAAGTGAGTTTGTGATGCATTATAAAACCTACAGCACATAAAAGGAAATATGTACACAAACAGAATGGAGACATAAGAAATAACAAAGATGGTGCTGATTTTAGCGCCGTCCTTGTTATTGTATGTGCCTGTTTTGTTTGTGTACTCGTTTCCTTTAATGTGCTGTGGGTTTTATCCTCCCAGTTTGATAAGCTCCTGTGAAATCATTCAAACCAGACACATAGTGGATGGTCCAGTTTCATATGACCAGTTGCTCGGCATCGCTAGAGTTTGCCAAAAAACTAGGAACCGAGCTGCATTGAAACCGGGAAGTCACCCACAATCAAGGGACAGAGCTGGCCTCGGAACGTCGGGGTTTGTAATGAAAGATATTTTATTAGAGTTCTGTTATGTTTTCACTGAACATATTCCTCTAACCAGGCAAAGTACTGCCAAAGCTTTACATTTGAACTCAAAATGAGATAATGCAAACAGATTTTATAATGGCACGTAGACATAGATTTCACTTTTATGGTTGCAATTGTTTAAATTCTTATATCTTTAGGTGAAAGTACACAACATAAGCACTGGTGTTCTCTTACCTCCTTGCATCGGTGCACTTTTCACTCAGAAACCTGCGTATTTGTTTTGCATGTTTCACAGCTTGTGGCTCTGGCACCTTTTGATTAATGAGGCGGGTAATGAAGAACGCTGGAAGAAATACACAGAGAATAAGTTCACACTTATTTTTCAATAGCTAATATCTTCAAAGCAGGTGTGGCAATGTATGATTCCCATTCCCTCACCCCGCAGGGGGCACCTGTGAAAGCAGGTGTTTGGAGAGTGGCGTCTCCACGGACCCTGAGCCCCGCAGGGGGCGCCTGCACCTGAGGTGCTAGGTGCTTGGTGAGTAGCGTCACCACGGACCCCAGCCACGTTGGCTACATAACGGACCCTGAGTAACAAGTGGGTAAGACCCACCCACGTCTGGCTGTGCGTGGCGAGCCCGTGTCCAGGGAAAAGGGCATCCTGGTGGTTGAGCTGAGCCCGGGGTAGGTTCGGACCCTTCGGGGCCCCCCGGGCGAGGCAACACACCACTTTGGCCCCTGCTTCCTGTAGACGGGAGTCCTGGTAAGGCCCGGCCAGGATGATTCAGTCTAGTCGCCTTTTCTTCTACTATCCCTCCAATCTTTTACCTTTACCTTTCCTGCTTCCTTTATTTCTCTCTCATTTCTCTTCCTCCTTTTTCACCCCTCTTTGGCGGCAAGGGCTAACCTTGGGTGGCAATGGACCCCTGTCTTGACCCACACTTGGGTATAGTTTCCCGGCAGCACTGTTAGCGTAACGTCTCCAGCCAAGCCCTTCTTGTTATGGTGCGTTACCTAACCCCTTGTTGGGCTCGGTGGTGGGCGGTGCACCGCGGATTCTGAACATTCTTTGCCCCTCTTATGGCACCCCTCCGTTCTAAACCCTCTGATCGGCCCCTGAAAAGGGGTCGGACCGAAGTAAAACTGAATGATAAGTCTTCACCGGTACAGAACACTTTTAGCCGATTCCTTGTTATGCACTCTGAACAAGACGAAAAACCTCTTGCGAAGTTGTCACCTTTTCTGATCGCAAAAACCCTAGAAACCCTTGTAGGCAAAAACTTCAAAGCAAAGAAGCTCGTATCTGGTGACTTGCTTGTTGAAGTGGAAAATGGCACACAGAGTGCTGCCCTCTTGGACCTAAACAAGATTTCTGAGTATAGAGTCTCCGTCACTCCACATCGAACACTAAATAATTGCCAAGGAGTAATTTCCGAGGATGATTTGCTAGAGTCAAGTAACGAGGAGATTTCGGAAGGTCTTTCCAGTCAAGGAGTAACGGCAGTACGACGAATCCTGCTTCGTAAAGACGGAAACGAGCGACCAACAAAACATATTGTACTTACATTCTCTTCCACTGTGCTGCCTCAAAGTATCAAGGCGGGCTACCTCCACTGTAAGGTGCGCCCATACGTCCCGAACCCGAGACGCTGCTTCAAGTGTCAACGGTTTGGTCATGGCTCTGCCACCTGCCGCGGAAAGACAACCTGCGCAAAGTGTGCATGCACAGACCACCCAACAGATACGTGTGGCAGCTCAACCCCTAAGTGCATCAACTGCACTGGTTCCCATCCTGCTTACTCGCGATCGTGTCCAAAGTTTAAAGAGGAGAAAGAAATTTTAACCTTCAAAACAAAGGAAAACTTGAGCTACCATGAGGCACGAAAACGCTTTTCGTTTCTTCAAGGAGGAACATACGCC